TATGGGACTTTTTGTATATGCAATAGCTTGATTGAAATAGTCCGATAAGTAATGATATGTGTGTCATGTTTTCCTTAAGCAGTCACCATTTTTGGAGCAGTCGTTAGATGCAGACTAAAACTTTCATGATAACTATTGTCTCTTCACATGATGGGTAAGGGGACACACTCCTATTGTTGTTCCAGTGAAACAGTGAAAGGACAGAGTGTGGGAAACCAGAAGAAACTCACTCACAGAGCCCCAGCGGGACAACAGATGCTGACCTCTGTCCTGAGGAGAAACATGTCGAAAGGTAGTATGATGGAATGAAAACTGATGATGGAAAACAACAACACGTTTGTATGGGATTAGTTACTTTTAACATACCATGAAATAAAATAACATGAAAATATTGGCTGATCTCCAAAGTTTTGTAGCACTTAAGAAATAATGTAGTTGTAATTTAATGGAGGAATTTATGAAATTACAATATCTATCAGCATTTTCATGATCGTAACTTTAAAGTGTTTGTGATTTTTTTTCACCCTCAAGCTGTGACTCTGTGTTTCAATCTATTGTACATATATTCACCAGAATTCACACAGACCCATACATATTGTACATGTAGAATAAAATTACATCTTGAGGAGCCTTTTTCTTCTCCAGGACCAAAGAGAAGGAGGGTCACAGTTCAAGTTGATTTGCATTCTTCACCACACGGGTTTCTGACTATTGTCCAGAGGGATTTGGCACACTTCAGGAAACAGCTGCCTTGACCTTCTCCTGCATTTCAGAACATGAGATTTGGAGCTTGTGAAAACATGAAAGTTTCATGATGGGCAATTTTCAAACTTTGTCCAACTGTAAACTGAAATAGTGGATCATGGATTGTATATTACTGGATAAGGTAAATATGATCGACTTTTGAAATTTGAGTAAATTTTGAGTCAACCAATCATGTTGTTTCCCTCCAGATGGTTGTTGACGTCAGGCTCTGTCTCTGTTGGAGGACACGACCACCGACCACCACAAAAGCTCCTTTCAAAGACCTTTGTAGTGCACTGACCACATCATTCAGCACTGAGTGTGGGAAAGTGAGAGCAGCTATCTGCTCACACCAACCACAAACTGAAAAGCAAAAAACACACCTGCTACATCTGGACATCACAAAAAAAAAAGATAAATCCATTCTATATGTTATAATGAAACACTATTTTTTGTTATTATCACTGCTATTATTTTGTAGTTTCCTCGAAGAACTATCTCAGTGTTTTTTTTAATTTAATCTTTAAACATTCTCTACAACACTTTAGAAATTTGGTCACTTTGCCACATGAGTTGAACTTCATGTCAGAAGGAAGAGATCAGATCTGACATTAAATGATTTTTCCATAGAAAAACACACAGACCATCTGATGTCTGATTGAGTTTGTGTGAGAACCAAAAATGTTACTTTCAGAATAATCAATGACACTAAGTGGGTGTCAGGTGAGACATGAAAAGTATCTTAATCAGAGAAACAGTTTGATTTGAAAAGCGTGTGCCGAGTCAAAGTCACTGATCTCAGCATCAGGCAGCAGATGTATCCTCTACAGGGTCACCACTTTCTCAGATTCACACAGAGCTTTTGGAGTCTTTTATGCTGACACACCCACCCAAAAGTGCTCCATCTGTTCCCCTGGGATGTATCAATTGTCCCCTACTAATATGACCACTGAGCATGTGGCGGGCAAGATTTCTTTTCTCTAATGGACAGCTCTGTGATTGGTCAAGACTGTGAGAAACTCCAGTCAGACCAAGACCCACACATTCATATGGAGATGTGGGAGTATAAATAGGAGGGATGAAGGCAGCAGTGATCAGAGTCTCTCTACGGAGACCTCCACAGCACAGAGATCCAGCCATGGCAGCTACAGTCTCTCCAGTAATGACTAATTCTCAGGATCATGTGACTCTGAATCATAAGGTAAATTGGATATTATCAGAATGTCATCCATTATTCTTTAAAGATTGTGTTTGATAACACTAAAAATATGCACCAAAACTGTTTTATTAATGACTTTGTTCTTCTTCTTGCAGCTCAGGAAGCCTCTGGTGGAGAAGATCCGCAAAGAGAGAATCAACAGCAGTATTGAACAGCTCAAGTCTCTTCTAGGTTCTGAGCCACTCAAACAGCAGCCAGACTCCAAACTGGAGAAGCCAGACGTCCTGGAGATGACTGTTTGCTTCTTGAGAAGACTGCAGCAGCAGCGTCAAACCGCAGAATCAGGAGTTCTTGAACAGGGCTATTGCAGTTGTGCCCAAGAGATGGTCAACTTCCTGTCAAAGGTGGAGGTGAAGACTCAGTCCCAGAGAAACCTGCTGAACCACATCAACCAGCTGCACACTTCCTCTGATAAAACCCTGAGTGAGGCTGACTTCTCTCCTCTGAGCTACACAGTCCAGACCAGCATCACCAAAGACAACACACTCACCAGCTCCCTCTGGAGGCTGTGGTAGAAACCTACAGACTGGAATCAATACTAAATCATCTACACTGATCATATTGGTCAACGATTGCAGGGAAAGAAAATTCAAAGACTTGTTCTTCTGTATGTACAGAAGGTTTTTCTTTGTTTTGTTCTTCATGGAAGATGATATTTCCTGAGGAAATGACACCAACAACATCTTTCAAGTCAAGAGAGAAAGCCTCTTGTCATACCACAGAGATGTTTGGAGACCACGTTGGTCAAAGATTTAAGGAACTTTTTCTTCTGTATGTACAGAAGGTGTTTGTAAAACCAGGCATAATTCACATGTTCATGTAACAAATATTTCCTATGGAAAGAATGAAACAAGCTCCTCTTTCATGTTAAGAAAGAACATTTGACATTCTTGTTCCAATTTGCTTTTACTGCTGATATTTAGTAGCAGTGTATGTAAAAATGTGCATCACATTGTGGTGACTTGTGCTGAAATGAAGTTTATTACTTCTTGAATTTTATCATGTTGATAACACACGATTGCTCAAATGTTACTGAGATGTTTCTTCTAAACTAATTTTAATCTTTGTGATTATTCTGCATTGTTCTGTTATCAGAGCCAGATTTATTTTTGTCCTTTGTTTAAGAGGATTATATACCTGACACTGTAAAGTCAGTGGATTTGGTTCATCTACTCATATCACTTTGTGATTGTTTTAATGTGATTCGTTGTAGAATCCCTTTGTTCTTTGCCTTTGTTATAAAGTGCAGTTTGTGCTTATTCCAAAGTGTATTTTATGAAAATGTGACATCAAGATTCATGTCATAATGTTTGTGTCTTTTGTAAAGATGATTGGTCCCCCACTCATTTTGAGTGCAGTGTCTTGGTGATGTTACCAAGTTATTGTTGTGATGCATCATCATTTATCTCACTCTCATATATAAACTTGACGCTCTGTTTATCTTAATAAACAACCACTGAAAGGACATCAAAGTGTTTCTGTTATCATTTCATTCTATGTTACGCATATATGTCTTGTAGTTATAGTGGATCACTCATCTTAGGCATCCTATACATTTATTGGGCCAATATCACTATATATTGTAAAAACAGCAAAGCTCACACCAGGACTATGGTGTAGTAGGGTGACAGGTGAGGGCTTCATGATCATATCTGGAGCCTTATTCTAATCCAAATGTCACAGAAATTAAAATGACAATAATATTCAAATCAAATTAAAATATCTGATGAGTTATAACTCATATGGGACTTTTTGTATATGCAATAGCTTGATTGAAATAGTCCGATAAGTAATGATATGTGTGTCATGTTTTCCTTAAGCAGTCACCATTTTTGGAGCAGTCGTTAGATGCAGACTAAAACTTTCATGATAACTATTGTCTCTTCACATGATGGGTAA